AATTTTTCTTAAATGACCATATAACAAATATTTCAGTCTTGTGTTCTATACAGTCTCTTTTGCAATTTCTCAGTTGTGACTTGTATTGCAAAAGCAGTCATTAATAATATATAAACAAGTGATTGAGACTTTGTTCCGGTAAAACCTAATTGATAAAAACAGATTGTTACCACAGTTTGCCAAGCCCTACTTCAAAGCAATTATCAAAAGCCATCCAACTACGTACTTTGGATCACTCTTTTCCTCTCTTCAGGTGCCATTCTGCTGCACAGACCTGAAGGTTATCCCACAGGACGATCAGAGAGTGATCTAGAAAGTTTTCTCACACTCATTGTTTTTTAATCCATTTACCCCAGTTAGCAGAGCCTGAGGAAAAGGCTTGGGTGCATGCTGTCCTTGTGAAGGTGGAGAGGCTGAGGGAAAGGTAAGTTTGTTTATGAAACTGGGCCTGGGAAGAGTGCGAGAAAAGAGAAGAAATCCATATAAAGGTGCACAGCCAACCAGTCACTGCTGGGACAATTTGGGCTTCATTATTTCAGAACAATCTGAAAGGACATGTATAATGGCCCTCCTTATTGTCTTAAGAGATGAAAGAGGAGCCATTTCCCACTGAGACTTTAGTCAGAGATTGCCACGAGTTAATGCCCCCAGTTGCAAATATAGGGCTGTCATCCAGAGGAGTCCCTAGGAATAAAGCATTCAATGCACAGGGGACAACTGAGGTGAAGTCCTAGTTGCAAAAGTGGTCAGGATGCAATGGCATAGTGAATGGTTGCCAAGACAATGTGGGGCAGGCCTCAGGAGGTGTCCAGCACAAGCACTCCCAACAGTTCACCCACAGGAACGTCTGAGTGGGTTTCCAGACTGATGGGGTCCTAAAAACGAGGTAGCATGGTAAAATCGCTAGGACAAAATCGCTATAAAACCAGCAACTCTACGTCAATTCATGAACAGATCTCCTTGATAAATTTGGAAAGCTCTTTTTCTTTTAACTTCCCTGCACTTTCAAAATCATTTCATTCAGTTCTTATCTGGCTTTTTACCCCACATCCCCAATAATCAGTGACTCCCCTTTATTCTACATCATTTACCATAAACAACTTCAAATTATTGAATCTTACTGAATGGAAAGACCAACCTGCCTCACTCATTTAAAAAAACGTGTGCCATTTGAAAATCATCAATAAGATATTATCAATAATAGTCACCCCACTATGCAAACAGAACAACAGAATTTTTTCTTCTGATCTAACTGTAATTTTGCACCTTTTCATAGATCTTTCATTTTCACTCTCCTCATCCTAAATGTTTGAGGTGAAGAATATGTTAAATTCTCAATCATTTAGTATACAATGTATACATGAATCTAAATATTACGCTATATTTCTTAAATTTATACTATTATTTGGGTCAATTAAAAACAAAAGCAAAGTAACCACTACATGCCAGTCTCTGATTTAACTGTTCCATAGCACTGAAGGTTTTCTCCTAAGTATATTTTTATATGCTTAGCCAGAATTCATTCACTATATTCTCCATGATCCCCTTGAGATCTCTTCCTAATTTCAAAGTCCATCATATTAATCAACCCCATTCATCCATGGATCATTGTTATATGCCAGTGTTATCTCTAATCAGGCCAGGGATTATTATATCTCCACTTCACACATGAGGAGTCTGAGGCCCAAGGATGCTCACAGAAGCCACAAAGCAAGGACTTGACAGAAGCAGAAAGTGAGAATTTAACTGGGAATTTACCTAAATCTCTACCCCCAGCTCTCTGTGTTTGTGCATGGGATAGGAATTCCTCACACACTTAGACATGGTGCTGCTCAAAGATGGATTCCAAGTCTGATGATCTCAACAACCAATCAGCAAGAGAGATATCCCACCTTCTGAGTCAATTTCACATAAATATGCTAGCTCAGACAGATATTGCAAACATTGTTGGGGTCCTTAGCTTGAAGGGTAGCCTGAGAGCTCTAAAGCAAGGGAATTTTCTGGGACAGTATTTCCAGCTGCAACCATCTTAATTCATTGACACCAGGTTGGCAAACATAATTTTCTATGGATGAAAAAGACTGAGAAGCATAAAAATTCAAGGGTGCTCAACCACCAGTGATTCTGAGATACTCCCAGTTCTATATGTCCTAGAGGATTGCCAATGAACTGCAGTAATTCATAACTCAGCTACCGATTATCCATAAGATAGAAGAAACATTGTAGAATTATAGGTACTTCTTGTAGGAAAGAGGCTTAGAAAGAATCCAATATTGCTTTTTTATCTTTGGCAAACACTACCCAAATATCTTGACAATGGATTTCCAGACTCTGCTTAAATAGCTACATGGTGTTAAGGGCAGGTGTGAGGGAGGGGGTTGCTCTAAAAATTAAAAATAGAACATCTCCTACCTGCATCAACTAATCAATAAATTGTAAGCTGGGTAGAGGAAAAAGCAGTAGAACATTTTGAAATTTCTTATTCTGTAGTCTTGTATGCCTCCTGCTGGCTGAAATTGTTGCTTCTAATGATTGTGTATTAAAGTAAAAATACTATGCTAATATTAATTCACTCTAAGTGTTAAAACATCTTGACAATATGATTTTCAATTCACATGACATCTGGAAGTCATGTGTATTTGGGATCTTCAAATGTTGCATGAAGTACACATTTTTCAAGTACTATTTTAAATTTTATCTTTTGTCACCACCTGGTGGTAGAATATTTTCTCACTTTCCTTATTTTCACTTTGTTTTTGTTGTTGCTAAGGAAAATCTTTAAACCAGGAATACCAGGTAACTTCAGAGTTGATAGACAAGAATTGATGCATACTAAACAGTGCACAAAATGAGTATCTTCTGAATGAATAAGTGAATGAGTTTAATCTCAGTTTTAGTGGATTGCAATGTTTGATTTTTTGCAATGTATGATTTTTTTTTTCATTTCAACTGCATGGAGCTCTCAAATGTGATAAAATAGGCGTGTGTACTTTTGTCAGAGGTAGTTTTCTTTTTTTGTATAGTTAATTTTTGGTATAAACTCATAGAGCCACATAATTAAAAAGCAGTTGGTTACTTCCATAGTTAACTAAAGTGTTTTTATTATTTTTTTAAAATTATATATACATATATACATATATATACACACACACATATTTTATCTTGTACTATTCTAAAAATATTTTATGTAATCCCAAGAAGGTAAGAGAAAACTTCATAGAAGTTTTTTATATATGACTGAAGATTTGTAAAACCTTTGGAAATTCCTGACTTGAACTATTAAGAAAACCATGTTGCACATCATTTGTTGTAGATCATCGCCACCTTGTGGGCTGAGAAAGAGGTACTAAAGGCTGTGAGTCTTAAGGTGGAATTTTTTAATTGCTAGAAAATTCATATTAATAATTAAAGTGAAATTTAATAATTGGAAACAAAATCAGTCATAAGTGTGAAAAAACTCGCTTACAAGCTATTACGTAGATTAAAATACCAAGAGGTATTTCATTAAAATTTTGGATCAGGGCCATTTATTTCTAAGCTCCCAATTTTACTCTGCTCTATCATGTTAGGCAAGTTGCTTAACCCTTTTGAGGCTCAACTTCACATCTTTTAAACAAAGGGAATGGCTTATTCAGATCATGCAGTTCTTAGTTCTACAAATTAATGATTTGGGGTTTATATAAATATTTTAGTTCTAATGCAATTTACAACAAATTTTCTGTCTTCAATATTTGTCATAGTTCTGAAAATGTAACCTGCTAAAAATAGATGTTTTGTGTCTACTTTCTCAATTGCAATCAAATAATTTTCAACAAATAACCATTTGTCCACTAATGCTTCATTAACGTATGTTCCCTAAAGCAGTCCTAATGTCAAATACCTTTCCTACTTCTAACTGGTAAATCCTATGGTATGAAAATGTGAATAAAAAATCTTCCATGGTTATAAAATATGCACATTAGTAGTTTCTATACACATGTTCACACTAAAACTATTCTAGTAGCTCACATACATTACCAGATTTTCCCATTTGATGGCTGCTTGTTGAATACTTGCTTTGCTATAGAATTATGGAGCATTGTTTCTGTTATAAATGAATCACTGAAACAATACAAACATATAAGGATTAAACAGACATTAATATTTTCTTTCACTTCAAAAGTCATGATACTTTTCTATTTTTTTCAGAAAGTGCCTTTGTGCAGAAAGGACAAAATGTTTTAAAAGGTCAAATCACTCATTGTGAGAAGTTTTACATTAAATGTTTGAACTATTATTAGGTCATCCTGACAAATAATAAAAATGGTTAAAGTCAATAGAACTTTAACATATTAGAACATATTAAGATTCATGTGTATACAAGGCCATATGTATTTTATAAAAACAAAAGCAAAAATATGGGGAAGACGGATTGTAACAATATGTGATCTTCTAGGTGCACATTCAAATCAAGGAGCAAAAAACTGTATAAAGATGGAAGAGTGAACTTATACAAGGACTAACTATTGGGCAACATTCTTATTAGTCCCATGAACAAATTCACATTTTGCTTATAAGTAAGTATAATATCGTGTGTATATATTTACACAATACTACATACACTTGAAGAGTGCTGGTCTTTAAAAAAAAGTAAGCGGATTAGATGTTCTTCTGAGCATGGAGTTTTTCAGTTTAGTAACTGGCAACTCCTACATTCATGTCTCTGTTGAAGCGATTAAAAAAGAATCATTTCCCAGAACTACAGGTGCACAACAGATTGGAGTCATTATGCAAAAGAACAGAAATCTGGAGAGTAACCCAAAGAATAAAAAAGCCATGTTCCTGGCAATCCTTTAGCCTTGAACTCACTGTGTTTTTTTTTTCTTTCTATCAGCTCTATTTGGATATACAACATGAAATATGAAAAAATTATAATGGATTTGAAATAACCCATTCAAGATTAGAAAGGTATGCCTTGAATTAAACAAATTTCCAATAAGAACACACAGGAGACAGAAACAAACCAAAGGCCAAACTTGCACTAATGTATTTTAAAAGCTGAAGCATATATGTAAGGGCAGTTGACAGGCTGGAATACATTACACAATTTTTATTTAAAGTTACACATTTTCTGCTTCTTCTTAATTTCCCTTTCTGCCACAATTCAAGGGAATCACACTTACCGTCCCAGACCTGGAAAGTCTTTTGGTTCCCCAGGGCCACCTCAAGTATCTGAAATCTCTATCTCAAAGCCAGTGTGAAGCTCCAAGTACTGGTTACCATATGCATTCTGAGCCCTCTTGCAAGCTAGAGATTTGAAACTGTGTTGATGACTTTGCCATCATGTTTTCATAATTCTGTAGAAATAAGTCTAAGATAACTTTCTTCCAATGTCCTCTCCAATCTCTAAACTTTCTAGTAGTTAGAAAGAAGGAACAAATGAAATAAAATGAGATCATAAAAAATAGAATGCAAAAGAGGGAAATGTAAAAGAATGTCTGCAAGCCAAACTAGGGAGCAGAGATGTTCCATGTTTGAGAAAGGCCTCTTGTGAGGAATAGGGGAATAATCTTCTTAGTTCAAAGATGAAGAGAAAGAGTTTGACTGGACAATATAGAACCAAATGGCCACTCATGATACATGAGTGTGAAAGTCAATATTAAGTACATGAGTGAGAAATCCAATATGATACAAGACGGATTGCTGCAAGATTCAAGAAGGTATCTCAAACACAACATCAAAATGATAGGTGGTGGAAACGTGGAAGAGGAAGTAACAAACAAAACTGGTAACCCAGAATGTGCTCTTAAAATATGTTTTCGAGTTAATCATTCAACTTTTAACTATGAGTTCGAGCTGAAGAAACCAAAATTACAGTTAAGACCACCCATTCTGGAAGGCCTGAGGACCAGGGGGTGTTATGGAACCCTTGAAGGGCAAAGTGTTTTGCTTCTGTCTGTCATTCTTTCTCTTTTGATGGTTCCTGAAGCGAAATTTTTGTTTTTGTTTTTGTTGTTCAAGTAAGCAATCTAGAAGGCTTAAGAGAAAAGGTGTTGGTAAGAGTCCTAAAAGAAAACTTTGAGGGACCAATGAGAGGACTCCAGGGAGTGCTTCTGACTGAGGCCAACTGGAGTTGGAAAGATCTGGGGAGGAGCAAGGCAAAGCCGAGAGCAACTGGGAGCCTACGGAGGGACTGGGTGGGGGTGGGGCGGCGAGACCCGAGAGAGACCGAGAAGGGCGAGGAAGTGGTAGAAAGCGAGTGTGAGGGACGAGAGTCTGCCCCGGGCTTTGGCGTTCTCACCATTGTCCCAGTGGCTTTCCGCCTGTGAGCGCATTGTGAAACAGTTCCTTCCTTTGAAGCACTGAGCCCCTCCCTTTTCGATGGAAGAGCCGCTCAGCTTTTTCTTAGGGACCTGGGGGTGGAAAGGCTCAGCTTTGTCGCTTTCGTAACACGGACGCCTGCTTTTCCCTTCCCACTAGGAAGAGGAGGGCGGGGTGGGGAAGGAAATCCATTTCCTCTTTTCTCCACGACATATTTTCTATCCTCCGCGATCGCCGCTGCCCCTGAATAGCAAAGTGGGGTTCCTTAATTGTTCTGCTCATCTCGCCTACGGCCTGCAGCAGCTGCACTTAGGTGGGCGACCCGCGGGACTTACTTTCTCGAATGAAGAAGAGAAAACCCAATTCCTTCCATGGGCTCTAGGAAATGAACCCCGTTCCAGATCAGCTCTTAAGGAAATGGGAACACGGGTCCCCACAAAAAGTTCTTATGTGGCGCGGGGCCGGGGAGAGGGAAGAGAGTAAAGGTCAATGCAGACCCATTTTACAATCCTGAGTCTAGGATGTGCCCCCAGACCGTTTGTACAGGGCGGACGCAAAGCCAACACCAACCAAGCTTTCCCTAAGAAAAGTTGGGGCAAAGAGAGCTTTGCAGCAAAGGAGCTCCTGGCAGCCTAGGGAGACGGAGAGGTGGGCAGGCTATTCTTTCTAGAAAGGGCGGCCCATCTTCCAGACTGGGGAAGAAAGGGCTATGCAGGCAGAGAGGGAAACTTAGGGGCCACTCCAGAGAAGGGAAATTTTGGTAAAGGGACCCAACTATCCACCCTGAACCTCCCTCCTGGGAGCTGCAGCCCAGAGGGTATACTGAGTACCCCACAAAGGAGAAGGCAGGGTGGTCCAGGAAGTCTGCGGGGAAGAGGCGTGGTGGAAGGGAGAATTTTTTCCCCCCTGAGTGGCCCAGGCTGTACAAAGTGCTGGTCACAGTGCCGTTCTGCGTCTTCCGCCCCCTAGATTGACGAGCACTGGCACGAAGCCAGCGCGGAGGCTGCCCCCTCCCCCCCGGGGGCCCGCGGCGCTGAGCGCGGTTTAGCACCGACTGAGCTCAGGGGGCGGTGTCTTTGGGATGGAAAGGCGGCCAAGATGGAGGAGGGGCTCATTCCAGGGCTATAAAGGGGCGGTCCGGGCTGCACAGTTCTTGCACTCGCTGGAAGCCGCTACGAGCCAAGCGCTTATTGCGAAGCTAGAGCGCACAGTCGGGCGGAGAGGGCAAGAGTCCTGCTCAGAGTGAGCAGTACTAGGCGGAGGACGAAGGGTAGCGCAAGGCACCGATCCTCGAGTTGCCCCCAGCCCCGGAGGTGCCCTAGAGCGCTTCTTTTTCCCTCAGCGGCCACTCCATAGCGCCCACCGTGCGGTGCCTCCAACTCTGCGCTGGAAGAAAACCTTCCCGCGCGCCGGCAGAATCTCGGCGCCTTCTAAGTGACTGGGAGGTTCGGCTGTAGCCGGTTCTCCGCTAACTTTCAAAGAATAATAGTAAACTTTGACAATCCGGAGAAAGCCAGCTCAGCTCCCCCTCCTTCAGAGTGCCGCGTCTCCCAGAGCTCTGATGCAAAGATCAGTCCCTGTGGAGTCCCGAAGGCACAGGCTGGTCGGCGATATGGGGTACGCTGAGCGAGCGCCACGTTCTTGGAGCTTTCAGCCTGCACCCACGCTGCTGCTGCTCGCGGCGGCTGCAGTGCTGTTTATAGTGCCCGGCGCGCATGGGCGCCCCGCGGAGGAGGACGAAGAGCTGGTGCTGCCAGCCCTGGAGCGCGCCGAAGGACGCGAGACCACGCGCCTCCGCCTAGACGCGTTTGGCCAGCGGCTGCACCTGAAGCTACAGCCCGACCGCGGCTTCTTGGCGCCAGGCTTCACACTCCAGACTGTGGGGCGCAAACCCGCGCCTGAGGCGCAGCGTCTGGACCCCGCCGGCGACCTAGCACACTGCTTCTACTCTGGCACCGTTAATGGTGACCCCAGCTCGGCCGCAGCCCTCAGCCTCTGCGAGGGCGTGCGTGGCGCCTTCTACCTGCAAGGCGAGGAGTTCTTCATCCAGCCGGCACCCGCAGCTGCCACTGAGCGCCTCGCCCCCGCCGCCGCCGAGGAGGAGCCGATCGAGCGGCCTCAGTTCCATCTCCTGCGGCGGAGGCGGCGGGGCGGTGGTGGCGCCAAGTGTGGAGTCATGGACGATGAGACCCTGCCCGCGAGGGGTGCAGAACATGAGGGAGAAGACCTTGGAACGCAGTGGCCTCAGCGGGACCCGGAGCCGCAACACGTGGGACAGCCAACAGGTAGAAAAGTTTTCCCTACTTGGTTCTCCATTCATTCCCCTCTCCCCATTTTCTCTAGGCAACGTGACTTGGTAGACTCCTACTTGCAGTCAGGAGAATGTGCCTGCAGACAAGACGGAGACCTGGAATGATTTTTGAGGTTAATGTTGGTGAGCCTAAGACTGAGTTAATAAAATCCTACGTTTAGAACATTTAATTCCATTTAATTCTACCGAATAATGAACAACGAAGAAAGAACAGACAAATCTGGCAGACTTAGGCAAAATTTTTGGCAGACTTAGGCAAAACGTTTCAATTGAGAAGGGAGCGTTTAACCTGACTTCTACACGTTGGTTAAGTGTGCATTTGTGACTTCTTACCTTTAATTTCTTTTTAACGATTCTATGTGTGCTCTTTGACTGGGTTGCAGCTTCGCGCTGTTTTGTAACTGCTGTTTTTGCATGCTCTCGGTCGGCGCTCAGAAGAGGGCGGAGACCGAGAGGGTAGAAGAGCGACGGTGACCTCAGTGCTTATGAGTCTGGGCGACTGCGCTACTGCGTTATCTATTCTGTGGGCTTCTGTTCCCTTCCCCCTCTTTAAAGTCTGACCCTGGACGGCTGGCGGCAACGGGGCCGCTCTGCAGAACCTGCTTGGGAGGTCTTTGCGCAGCTTGCCCCGCCTCCCAGCGCCTCCTACTCGCCTTCCGATTTGCGCTCCCTCTCGTGGCCATAATCCTACTCTAGCACTGTTGAGTGTTAGTGGCCGCCTAGCTTCCAGTCTTCTCCTGAGTCTCTGTGTGCAGTGCTTATTATCCAGTTTTTTCCACTTTATCACCCCGATGTCTTTATTCCTTAAGTTTTTCCACGTGTCTTCATTTTGAATTTCCCTTTTGCGTTTGCTCTTATGTTCCTGGGAGGAGTTACGCGGTCATAGCCCAGTTTAGGACCTGCCGGCGAGATGGCTCTCAGTGTGTAGTCCGAGGGCTCTTTTCCAAATGATGAACGGTGGTTTGAGGCAGAAACTTATTTCTCTGGGGCAATGAGAATGGGGCATCAGGCTGCTGGGCAGAGTGGGTGGTCCTTGTGCCGGAATTGGCAAACGCATAACACCCAAGGGACCCCTGGAATGAGAAAGCTGAGCAATGCAGGCTGAGATTCCTTAGGCCCAGCCCCTTGGCAGCAGCCCCAGCCCTGCCCTAGGCTTTCCACGTGGAGCCCGATGATCTCATTCAGGATTTGAGTCCTGGCCTCAAGAGTGAAAGAGTGACTCAGGGCGCTCTGCCTGCTGCCCTTGCTCCAAGTTTTTACTACAGCTGAGTAGGGTGATGTGACTTCAAAGGAACAAAAGAAACCATGCTCTCTTACACATGAAAACAGCCAAATCACTCCAAGGAGTACACAGTCTTTTTTATTTAAAGCAAAAGAGAAAAAAAAAAACTTTAAAAATAATATTTTCAATAAAAACGTGCAAATATTTTTGTTATTGTTTTCTAAGTATATTTGAGTTTTATTTGCTTTGACTAGTTAGGCTTTCCTTATATACTCAAGGAAGGTAACTATTCTTGGAGAGACTGCCCACAAGCAAACTGTTTTTGTTTCTTTACAGGAACTGGAAGCATAAGAAAGAAGCGATTTGTGTCCAGCCCCCGCTATGTGGAAACCATGCTTGTGGCCGACCAGTCAATGGCAGAGTTCCACGGCAGTGACCTAAAGCATTACCTTCTCACCTTGTTCTCCGTGGCAGCCAGGTTGTACAAATACCCTAGCATTCGAAATTCCATCAGCCTCGTGGTGGTGAAGATTTTAGTTATCTATGAGGAGCAGAAGGGGCCAGAAGTGACCTCCAATGCTGCACTCACTTTGCGGAACTTCTGCAACTGGCAAAAACAACACAATCCTCCCAGTGACCGGGATGCAGAACACTATGACACAGCGATTCTTTTTACCAGAGAGGTGAGAAGGAGATAATGTCGATGATCATATTGTCCACTCAGGAATCAGCATAATACCAACTGAATAAAAATATTTCAATGATATTTTTTCACTTACTTTTTTAAATTGGTTAGCATGGTCCATCTTGCTTATTTTCAGCTGTAATCTTAATGTCTCAAGTTTTACATTATTCAGTTTTTAAAAACATTAGGACAGGTTTTGATTAGAGTCACATAAAGTCTTTAGCTAAACAATAATGAATGTAAATGCTCCCAAATGTAGATAAAGACACACCTTGCTAGAAACTAAAATGCAAAGGTTCCTATTGTTCATGTTAATAAAGACTGATCTTTACTCCTTATAGGACTTATGTGGGACTCAGACATGTGATACTCTTGGAATAGCTGATGTTGGAACTGTGTGTGATCCCAGCAGAAGCTGCTCGGTCATAGAAGATGATGGTTTACAAGCTGCTTTCACCACAGCCCATGAATTAGGTAAGTCTGTTTCAGAGTATAAATTAAAGCCCAATTAATGAATTCAAACTGATGAAACAATATATTGATTTGAGAGGAGAGTCTGCAGATTATATTGCTATTATAGTATGAACTATGTATATATGGAACTTGACATTTCTGTACACCAGGTAAAAAAAAAAATAGACATTGTCTCCAAAATAAATTATCTCCTAAATAGACTTCTTCCTGTAGAAATGTGACTTGGAGACCAATGAATTTCTGTCAGGAGAAAAAAAGTATTATTGCAAGTGATCTGTATTTCAATTTGGGTTTTGGATTGCTTCCTAGGCCACGTGTTGAACATGCTTCATGATGATTCAAAGCAGTGTGCCAGCCTTAACGCTGGGAACCAGGGTTCCCACATGATGGCCTCAATGCTCTCCAATTTGGATCACAGCCATCCTTGGTCTCCCTGCAGTGCCTACATGATCACATCATTTCTGGATAATGGTCATGGTAAGATACTTTAGCTGCTCTCTTTAGAAAACATCCCAACTTTCATATATAGAGTTCTAATTAACCAAGCTCTTTTTAATTTTTTTTTTTTTTGTATTTTCAAAATTACATTTTACTGTCAAGCTCATAGATATTCAGATCTTAATTCCTGATAAAAGATAATGTTTCTGGCTGAGTAGCTCCTAGAGACCATTCATTCATATTTTAACAGAATAATAACTTCCTGTCATTGATAATCCAGAAATCCCCTATGAAACATAATATCTTAGTGACAATATAAATCTCTCTGGCATTTTCCCCCAAAGCTCTGCATATTAGATTACTTTGCTGTGTATTAATTCATATGATGAATATTTTGAGAAACCATGATCTACACTTTGCATTATATCTTTAACTACTCATTAATAATGTGTTTTTGTTTTTTTGTTTGTTGTTTTTTCTGTAGGGGAATGTTTGATGGACAAGCCCCAGAATCCCATACGGTTACCATCTGATCTCCCTGGCACCTTGTATGATGTAAACCGGCAGTGCCAGTTTATGTTCGGGGAGGAGTCCAAACACTGCCCAGACCCAGCCAGCACGTGTGCCACCTTGTGGTGCAATGTCAACTCGCCCTCTGGTGTGCTGATGTGCCAAACCAAGCACTTCCCCTGGGCGGATGGCACCAGCTGTGGGGAAGGGAAATGGTGTATCAACAGCAAGTGTGTGAACAAGACCGACAAGAAGCATTTTGATGTGAGTTTTTTCCCCCAGAACATATTTACATCCCTTTAAAATTCAGAAGTGAAAAAGCAAAGTGATGTTAAAAGATTTCTTGCCAAGATAAATACCCTAATCTGTGGGAATTCCTCCAGTGGGAATGCAGGATAGCTTATTTTTGGAATTCAGTCTTTTTCTCATATTTTTTCTTTTATTTCCTAAAATGGTCTCTTTGGAGAATTCTGACACTGATTTGTGTTGCCCTTTAGGCCCCTGTTCATGGAAGCTGGGGATCCTGGGGATCCTGGGGAGATTGTTCGAGAACTTGCGGCGGAGGAGTTCAGTATACAATAAGAGAATGTGACAACCCAGTCCCAAAGAATGGAGGGAAGTACTGTGAAGGCAAACGGGTGCGCTACAGGTCCTGTAACGTGGAGGACTGTCCAGACAACAATGGTGAGCAGCAGTGAGCTTACGATTTCAGAAATGGGGTAAATAAGATGAGTACACAAACAGCAGTTCAAGGCCAGAAACTGATAATGTGTCATGTCATTCTTTTTCCAGGAAAAACCTTTAGGGAGGAACAGTGTGAGGCACACAATGAGTTTTCAAAAGCCTTTGGGAGCGGGCCTGTGGTGGAGTGGACCCCCAAGTATGCTGGTGTCTCACCAAAGGACAGGTGCAAGCTCATTTGTCAAGCCAAAGGGATCGGCTACTTCTTTGTTTTACAGCCCAAGGTAGATACTTTCACATTATTGTTTTCCCCATCCAAGGTCTTGGCTTGTTACTTTTTTTTTTTTCATGCATCCTTTGACTTGCGTTCTTTACTTTAAAAGAAGTCTAAATTCAGACTTCTTTTCTTCCAAATGCATTAGCAACTGCCTGCTTTGAGCTTATTATTGCTTCCAGTTATGAATGAAACTCAAATTCTGCACTTGAAATTCTGGCAATTGCTTAGCATTAGTCCTTTTCTGTACCAGGAAAACCCTTTGAAAATCAAGAGCTTCTTTGTATAACTAGGTTTCACCTGTAACTGTGGTTAAATATATTATATATTAACACAACAACTAGTAATTTGGGACAATAGTTTAGGCATGATCCAAAGAAGTTGTCACTGAGTAACTAGCAGTAACATATGGAAACATTAAAATGGAAGTCTGAGCATTGATAATTTGTATGTTTGAGCACATATACTGAACAAGAAGCATCCTTTCTCTTGTGGTTTGGCTACGGGGTTAAATCTGGTTCAAAAGTAAAAAATAGAATTTAATTCAGTTGAGATTGTCATTAGTATTGTAAGCTATGAAAATATTCCCAAGTAGCTGATTCAACATTCAGTGAACCACTTATGAAGCACTGTCTATTGTCAGATATTACTTTAGACACTAAGAATACAGGAGTAAAGAAATTGACCTGCACAGAGCTTCATTGATCTTAGCTGTAGGGAAGATAGGCCAATAAACAGATAATCAGAAAATTTATGATTTCCTCAGATGCTTATAACAACTCACTGAAAGAAAGCCAAAGAAAAGGAAACATGACATGTATGAAAAATATTACTTTAATAAGTGTAGTCAAGAAAAATGTTCACAGTTACCATAGCACAGGTTCCTTCTCTTCTGATGAGTAACACTGGACATATGACCTCCTTGTTTCAGGTTGTAGATGGTACTCCATGTAGTCCAGATTCCACTTCTGTGTGTGTGCAAGGACAGTGTGTAAAAGCTGGTTGTGATCACATCATAGACTCCAAAAAGAAGTTCGACAAATGTGGTATTTGTGGAGGAAATGGATCTACATGCAAGAAAATATCAGGATCCATTGCTAGTGCAAAGTAAGTTTTAAAATACGTCTCTCAGATACCTCATAATTTAAATGTACTGTTTCATGGCAGTGGGGAAATTTGATTAGAAATTATTAAATTAGATTAGATTAGATTAGATTCCAATTAGATTGGAAATTATTCCAATCAGGGCTGGGCACAGTAGTGCATGTGTGTAATCCCAGCAGCTTGGGAGGCTGAGGCAGGAGGATCTCAAGCTCAAAGCCAGCTTCAACAATGGCAAGGAGCTAAGTAACTCAGTGAAACTTGTCTCTGAATAAAATACAAAATAGGGTTGGGAATGTGGCTCAACAGCCAAGTGCACCTGAGTTCAATCCTCAGTGGAAATGATTCCAATCAATTAGTCGATGAATGAGAGACTGACCTCTATTTTTCTTGCCTGCAGACCTGGGTATCATGATGTTGTCACAATTCCAAGTGGAGCCACAAACATTGATGTGAAACACCGGAATCAGAGGGGATCCAGAAACAATGGTAGTTTTCTTGCCATCAAAGTTGCTGATGGCACGTATATTCTGAATGGTGACTTCACTTTGTCCACTTTAGAGCAAGATATTACATACAAAGGTATGGTCTTATGGTATAGTGGCTCCTCCGCAGCGCTGGAAAGAATCCGCAGCTTTAGCCCACTCAAAGAGCCCTTAACCATCCAGGTTCTTACTGTGGGCAATGCTCTCCGACCCAAAATTAAATACACCTACTTCGTGAAGAAGAAGAAGGAATCTTTCAATGCTATCCCTACTTTTTCAGAATGGGTCATTGGAGAGTGGGGTGAATGCTCTAAGTCATGTGGATTGGGTTTGCAGAGAAGACTGGTGGAATGTCGGGACATTAACGGGCAGCCTGCATCTGAGTGTGCGAAGGAGGTGAAACCAGAAAGCACCCGACCTTGTGCAGACCTGCCTTGCCCACACTGGCAGCTGGGAGAATGGTCACCATGTTCCAAGACTTGTGGGAAGGGTTACAAAAAGAGAACCTTGAAGTGCCTGTCCCATGATGGGGGAGTGTTGTCTCATGAGAATTGCGATCCTTCAAAGAAACCTAAGCATTACATAGATTTTTGCACGATAGCAGAATGCAGTTAAGCAGGGTCAGTTTTGAGGAAAAGGCAGTGTGGAAGGACTGACGCACCGAATAAGAATGCTGGAGGGATTCAGTGTATCTTGCCAATAGCCAGTGAGGTGTGTCAATCGGGGGAGTGTGGAGGTAAATAGGAGTTAGATCGTGAGAATATCCTGCCAGTTACAAATCTGATAGGCTAGTTAATGAGGATTATTAACCTGTGAGCAATGATATAGCATGAAAAGCCCCAGGGCATTATTATTATTATTTCTTTTGTTACATCTATCACAAAAACAATTGTCAAAATAAGCCAATATTTTTATATTGCAAGCCCTGCTTCCTGGTACTGATTAAATTCTTTGTACCATGCAAGTTGGTAATGAAAAGCAGAAGAAAGATGAAATTTTGTTTAAAACATGGCTTACTTTACCTCACTAACAAAAGGGGAAGAAAGGAGTACAAAGAGGTTATCTGATCAGCAGTCCTTATGGCCACTATAGTATCAGAGAATGTTTATGCATCTTTTCCATCAAGAGTGAAGAGTTCAGATTGTCCAACATGAGAGAAAGGCTCATAGCTCCTTCTCTAACGCCTTGTACCATCTCAGTCTTTATCTGTGTCATTCACATAAATGCATGTATTTCTAAGAGTGCATCAAGTCTACAAGGCCAAGAAAAGCAGCAGAGTACGAGGTGCTGATAAAAACTCAAGGTGACATGATGAGTTTGGTACTTCTGGTCTACCTTCCTCCTTATGTAAGCCGACTGTGGGAATGTGGATGTGGAAAAGTGAATTGTGTCTTAAGAAGTCAGTGAGACCACACAAAAGGATGTAATGCCAGAGCAAGAATGGAGCACATAGAACAGTGTCCCCTGGGCTTAGGGACATTGAGATCACTTGTCTCATGGTGAGGAGGCTGCTGAGGGGTAGCGGGTCCATCCCGGCAGCTGGTCCAACAGTCGTATCCTGGTGAATGTCTGTTCAGCTCTTCTACAGAGAGATAATATGACTTTTTCCATATGTATATAGTAAAGTGTGTTACTATAAATTATATATGTACTTTATAAGTATTGGTTTGTGTGTCCCTTCTAAGAAGGGCTACAGTTTGTAATAAATGCCTATAATAACATATTTATTTTTATACATTTATTTCTAATGATAAAACTTTTAAGTTATATCGCTTTTGTTAAAGTGCATATAAAAATAGAGTATTTATACAATATATGTTACTAGAAATAATAAAAGAACACTTTTGGATATGTGTGTTTATTTTCTGAAGTGGAAAATGACTGTTTTCTGACATGGCAGGAGATCTGAGACAAACATTGACTCTGAAGACAATTTTTTTCTTACATTCTTTGGAAATAAGATTGAGTTCTAATGACATATTTTATGTATCTTTGGTTTATGGTAGTGCTGATAATAACGGAATTTATTGTATCTTTAGTGATAGATAAATTTGCTACTCATGTTTCTAATAATATACACCAGTGGTTGGCAAACCTCTGTAAAATGCCGGATAGTAAGTATTTATGGCTTTATGAGCTGTACCATCTCTGTTACAAAGCAGTGCTATTGTAGGCATGAAAGCAGCCATAAATAATATGTAAATGAATGGGCATGGCTGTGTCCTAATAAAAATTTATTTACAAAAACAAGTGGTGGGCCAGGTTTGTTCTGTGGGATGAGATGGCCAACCTCTGATGTATATCAGAAATTAAATCGGAAAAGGTTGGGGTTCTGGACCCATTTGGGATTTTGATCTCTTCCTCAGTTATATCACATATGTGAAACTATGGGAAAGTATTTCAACTAGTGAGTAGAAAATAATAAATCATAAGTTGCACTTGGACATGCACGATGGGCCAAGCTCTGCAAAGTTTTGTTTGCTTATCAGGAATACCTGAGGTGTTTTGGAGACGTTGGAAAATCCAGGTCTTTCTGTGTAGCCTTTTGTAAATCCTTATAGTTTCAGTACATCAATGGCTTTTTAGAAGTTTGGACTGCTTCCAAAGTAACTGTGTTGCTCTGGAGAAAGAGTTTGCTCTTTACTTTCTTAACTTGCTATTTACTAATGCAGTTTACTGACTATAAGGCAGATGATGTGGTTAACTGCAGACAGTCCCAACTTCATATTTTCATTTTTTTTAAGTTTTCTCATGTAGAATAATAGCATGCCCCCTTCAGCTTCAGATGACAGTTTCTAAGTTACCCCACAATTATGCAGAGTGTCCATCAGCAGTTGAAGAGATTATACTCTGGAGTCTGGTATATTAGTGCAAAAAGGGGGATGGGGTAGGAGAGAGTCATGCTAATCTCCGATAACTCCTTTTAGAACCTACTAGGCTACAGTATTGAAAAGTAGAAAAAAAAAAAAAAGCAAGTTCTTCTCATATTGTGGGAACTAGTCTTTGTCCCATTTAAACAGATTTTATTTGTGCAGTTCAGAGGCCTAATTTGCACTATGCACCAGCAATCTCCATCATGGTAATTTAATGCTTACATTAGTACTGCACAAATCCCTGTAGTAAGTGACATGGAGAACACACACTCAAAGTGCTCCAACTCTTGTTTATTATACATGCTATTTGAGAAAAGAAGATTCATATACTTCAAACAAGAACTTGTGCTATAAAGAAGTCATTTGGGGATCTTAGTCGCAAGAGTGTTTTATTCTTAAAAGGCTTAGGTTGATTTGATACAGTAACAATTCTCAGGATTCAGAATATGAAGAGATAGAACAAGCCAAAAAGATTTTCTGCCATCCCCTTTGTTCTCTGTCCAAGGTAATGTCACATGACTTTCTTTTGTTGCCATATTATTTTTCAGCCCTCTGCTGGTGAGATTTCTTTTATCACTAGTCGTAACAGATTATGTTGGCAGCAAAAGAAGTTGCATTCAAAACACATCTCGGTCCTGAGAGCGTAACTAGGTACCTGCTTAGCAGGAGAGAGATTTTGTGGTGTCTTGAGTGGCTGGTATAGATGATTAGCTGGAACGTAGTTGAGTTCTAATTCAAACTCCTCATTTTTGGAATATGCAAGGGACAGTTTCTTTAGCATTTCAACTGTCAAGGATAATATTTGGAGGAGAGATTTCATCATTGTCAAAATTGGTTTCTAGCTCTTGCTCTTTGTGGAGTTTGCCATCTTAAGAAGGGTACAATAGCTCTTACTGTGTCTTAGGAACAATAAATGGTGGACACAATTTTCTAACCTCTTCAGTTTCCTAGAAGAAAGGAATACAAAAATTACTGTGAATATTTGCCCTACCAAGGAAATTGACCAACATTCTTCCCCAAAAGAGGGTTCATTCTGCTGTCTACATGTTTGTGATATGATGAGCTCATCATATGACATGGGCAGGAAGAGAAAGAGGCCAGTGAAACCAAGAAGATTCTTTGGTTAATCAAGTTTTCCCAGGAAGCAAAGGTTTTGTACCTTCTTTAATAAGAGTAGCACAATATATACCAAGCCATGAACATGACAAGTCACAGAGAAAAACGGAACCATACACAATGCCCACTCATTCCCTCCTGTCTCTTCATTGGCCACGGTCCTGAGAGTCCCTAGTATGGTGTTGTTCAGTGCAATCTTATCTCCATAATTCAGAAAATGGAAATTTTCTTTATAGTTCCCATCTGTTGTTCACATAGTCTATTTAAGGCTAAGTTTCCATAATTACCATGTAGCTCTTTGTTTAGAATTTATCTTGTTTTCTTAAGCTATGTGAGTTTCCATTTATTTAGGAACATAGTTTTATGTTCTATTGCTCTTCAGAGAAGGTACTTACCATTCACTTGATGGAGTGGGAAGGAAGTAGAGAGTACAGCTTCATGTAGAGTAAACCAGACAGGCTTCTTAAATAAGAAGATGTTTGGGTGGAAACCAGAAAGATGCAAAAGAGTCAGTTCTCAGAGGGAAGAGCTTACAACAGTGGGGTGATGACCACAGATGACAGTAAACTTGACTACCCTCTTGCAAGATGATCCAGTGAGAGGCCAGTGTGGCTGGAACAAAGAGGAAAGTATAAAAGGAGGAGGTTGGGATAGTAGAAGGCAGAGAAAATGTCCCAAATAATAAGAAGTACCCTTGGGTTTTGCTAGAGAGAAATGGGGAGCCAGTGACAGCAACTGAGCTGGGGAATCACAGTTCATTATAGGTGGAGACCAGATAGAAACCTGTGAGATCCTATTGCAGTAATTGCAATGAATGATATATGGATGGGGCTGAACTAGGGAACTAGGGTAATAGCTATGGAAACAATAAGAGCTCAAATTCTGCAGATCAAGATGGAATTTGCAGATGGATATAGACATGAAAGGAAAAAGAATATTGTTTATGAATGAGTCCCAGGCTTTTTTTCTCCTTTTTTTTTTTTTTGAGTGGGAATGGGGGAAAGATATTTTGTATGACATAATCGTTAATAAGTATTGAAACTACTTAAACCTATAGCTAAATATGAATAATTATTGAAAACACGTTTCAAAATTAACTAGAAATGTAAAAATAACAGTTAAAAACAAGGTATTATAAAATATTTTAATAATTCATGGATAAAAGTATGTATCATTGACAAAATTATAAAATGGGCAGGCATTTCTTTTTTGCTATGGAAGTTATCAAAGAATACCATTTTATTCTTGAATTTAGTAATTAAATATAAATGAGTGGTATTTCTTTTAAAAAAAAGTATACAAAAATAGTTTTTTGTTGTTGTTATTTTTTGAAAAGTGAATGTACATTTAAAAAGACCCATAAAGCAGGGGGAAAAACACAAAATAAGATGACAGAATGCCACCCACCATTATCATAAAAATACATGTTTTAAATTTTCCTGTTAACAGACAAGTATCTTCAGGGTATGCTTCAAAGTAACATCCAGTGACATGAAAAATAATAGTAAACTAAGTCAAAATATTTTTTAAAGAAGTACAAAAATCAGGCAAACGTAAAATGGGAATAGAATATGATCTCAGCTCAATTATGTTTAGATGGAAAAACACTAAAAAATAAATAAATACATTTTTGTAGATTAAAGTTGTAATTCATGATAAAATATGTGTCTGAGGTAATAGAACATATACAAAAAATTTAAAAGTTTTGAAACTATAAAGAAAAATTAATAGAAAGCACTATTTTCTGTTTCCCACCTTCCCTAACTAAGGACAAGGCACATATGAGAGAAAAAAATGAAAAATTTGGGGAAAACATAAAAGAAGATCAAATAAAACAAGAAACATGCACGTTTCCTTAAGTTTGATCCTAGATTCTGAACTTTTTATTTTGTTATAAAATAATGAGTAAATGTAGTGAAAGTCCAGTCATTAGCAAATGATTCATCCATTTTTGGAATCCAAAAACATTTTATAAAGTTTATCTGGGAGAAGTAAATTCGATGATGACAGAAACACATAACACATAAGGAAATAAGGTGTAATATAAGAGATGTGTTTGACCTGACTTGAAAATTCACCAAATTACAATCAGACAAAAGTGACACTTGTAGAATTATTCAGAAACATACCAATGGATGACAAAAATAAATCTAAACCAAATCATTGTAATCTCAACTATGGTAAAGTGAAAAACATAAGTCTGTGAGCAAAAGGGATCATTCCAAACATATCCCTGAAGCAAATTTTGTTTGAAAAACAATAATTTTTGAATCTTCTTTTAGACCATTCATCAAGTTAAAATCCAGATATGTAGGAAGTTAATGTGTCTAAAGGAAAAAAGCATCAGGGTTCTCCAGAGAAACAAAACCAATCCAAGACCTATATTCTATCCTCTGTATACTTTATTAACCAACCAATAAATTATTATGAGGAGCCAACTCACATGATTCTGGAGGCTGAGAAATCCCAAGATGAGCATTCCAAAGTTGGAGATGGGGTGACCTGATGATATAGTGACAGTCTGAGTCTGAGTCTGAGGGCAATAGACAATTGATGTTCTAACTCAAAGATACAAGTAAAAGAAAAGAAAAGGTAAAGACTGAATTTTTCCTTACTTAGTCCTTTTAATATTTATTTTTTAGTTCTCGGCGGACACAACATCTTTGTTGGTATGTGGTGCTGAGGATCGAACCCGGGCCGCACGCATGCCAGGCGAGCGCACTACCTACCGCTTGAGCCACATCCCCAGCCCTACTTAGTCCTTTTGTCCTTATTCAGCCCCTCAACAGAGCGGGTGAGGCCCACCCACTTTGAAAAAGGCACTGTGTTTCTTTCAATGGACCAATTCGAATGCTAATTT